AGTGATCTTAAAGCCTATAGGCTGAAGGAAACCAGAAGAAATTATTCATTCAGCTTAAGGGGGAAGGGCGGTGGTAGGGGAATCAAGCAGATAGATAGTGGTGGTTGAGGGCTTTGGTGGGAGAAGGCAGTGTAAAACACAGGTGAAAATGCTAGGTAGAACATGGTAGGAATATATAATGGCTCCTTCTGGGTAGTTCTTTGCTTTTACTTTGAAGTTTCTCTACAGAATCAGTAAGGTTTCAATTACTCCTTAGTCTCTTTGCTTCCATTTGCTCAAAGACTCAGAAATGTTTAGCCCTTCTTCCATGAAACGTTAGCTTATAGCTGCATCCAAAATTTCACTCTACATCTTTTCATTCTTTAAACACACACAGACACACACTCACAGCAAAATGCTTGGTTTCATTAATTTATCTCCTTTGAAATAATTTCACATAATGAAATTCAACAAGTTTGAAAGAAATGTGTTTGCTTTGTGGCATTTTTTTCCAAAATTTTTCACTGAGTATACTGGCAAAAATAACTTTCTCTAGAGATATCATGGGCTTGGACACAGCATTCGACTGCACTGGCTCCGCAATGCTGACTCTGCTGCACCGTATTATTCCCATTTCCACTGATGCTAATGATCTGTACAACTAAAATGGCAAATCATGATAAAAAGATATGATCATGGAAATAGGAAATTTAGATCTAAATAAATAAAATTATTCTTTTAATTTAAAGGAATTAAGACAAGTTATAAACAACCATTTAAAAGTTAAAGAATTTAGATAAATTTAACATTTAAATAACTTTAGGTAACTTTAACATTTAGATAACTTTAACATTCAGTTAACTTTAACATCTTTTTTTCATACTCTCTCGATATTGGACTCGGTTTGATGGAATCTATTATTCTGAGTAGTCAACTAAAATTAGGATACAAGTTTGCCTATGTTTTGTGCTTGTGTTTAACTTTTTATCAAATTGCCCAATACATCACTGCTGCATTTGAGCACAGGAGAAAGGTCAGGTAGGGAGGGCGCAGCACATGAAGGCGGCCTCGGGAGAGGACGAGTTTGAAGAGACAGGCAGGCTGTAGCTCACGATGTTGAGGAGTTATGGGAAGGTTTCGGCAGTGGAGTCTCACTGTGGGTGGTCTACAGAATGTTGATTAACACGTGGGATGGAGTGAAAGCACAGTCCAGGTAAGAAGTTACTGCTGAACAGGGTGGAGCACAGATGATGAGAAGGAGGCTTCTCACATTCCTCAGCCCTGGTCTGCCAGGCACTGTTTTCCATACACCACATGCATCCCTTTAGTCCCCGAGATAGCCCTTATTCTCCGTTTGTAGATGAAGAGACAAGGCACAGAAGAGTTATGATTGATCCACAGCCTTCCGTCCCTGGTCTTTGCCTTCCTGGCCACCACACTATAGGAACAGGACATATGAGGGGGTTTTCAAAAAACCCATCGGCTTTCAATTCAGTTTTCCACATGCGAAGCCCTCCTTGTGGATGGAGTGAAGATGCGGTTGAAGGTGGAACTGACAGGCCTTGGTCTGGGCTACTGTGAGCTGCTGGCTTTAGAAGACAGACAAGAGTGGCAGCACAGAAAAGTCTGGAAGAGGGTTTGGAAGGAAAACCAAGGACTGATTTTTTTTCCATATGTGCAGCTGGCAGGGGGCTATATAAATCTCTAACCAGAGGACTGAGGTGGAGACACAAATTTGAGCATTATGGTAGCCAGACTAATGGTTCCCTAAGATGCCCATTTCCTAATCCTGGGACCTATAAATACGTTTGCCATCTTACATGACAAAGGGGATTTTTGTCATTAAATTAAAGATCTTAGGGATTATCTTAGGTTACCTAGGTGAGCCTAATTTAATCAAAAGCATCCTTATGAGAAAGGGTCAGGGGGATCAGGATAAATAAGACTGGAAGAAGTTATTTCACTGACTTTGAAGATGGGAAAATGGAGTCCAGGGCTGCTGGTGACCTCTATAAGCTGGACAAAGCTCTCTGAGAGTTTCTGGAAGTACAGCCCTGCCGAGGCCTTGATCGGAATCCCCAGAATGGTATGAGAACAAGGCTGTAACGTGTCAGCCTTTCAGCATGTGTGGTTTTTTTTGAGCAGCAACAGGAATTCATACTACAAATTCTACGCGAAATGGAGGTCAGACACTGCAGGGACTAAGCAAAGGCCTTGGTAGATAAGCGGAGGCAGGAGGCAGTGCAAATGTGGAGGACCGGAGGCCCGTTCCTTCTTTGGCAGCAGGAAGAAAAGAGGCAGGAAGACTGGAGGTTGATAGGCAAGGATTCTTGTGAGAAGATGATTACTTTCAAAAGGAGAGCTGGCTTTTCTTAACTCAAATAAATGATGTGGCTAGGTCATCAGCAAGGTCAATATTTGAACCTAGGACTTTTGACTCTTAATTTTAGGACAGTTTCCAATTTGTACCAGAGGATCCTCAAGATTTAGTGCCAGAAACAGCAGAAATGGACACAGAGAGTTATGTACAAAGTTCAGGCACATCAAATCGAACCCAGGTGAACCGTGCAGGGCAGAGCGAGGCCACACAATGCCTTTGTTCTTACATCCACAGGAGACCTCAGCAATCGCTTCAGCACCTGGGCACAGACTCAGACACCTTCCAACTCAGTAGTCCACAGAGCAACAGGCACTGCAGATCTATCTAAACTGGCACTTGCGATGAAGCCTACTTGCCAATCCTGATCTAGGTACCAGAGTTCTTTATAGCTCCTCCTCCCAGAGGAGACAATGGAAGACGAGCATGAAAATACCACTAAGAAGCAGAACGATGCCAGCAGCTGCTAAATATCTATCCACAAGAAAATGAAGAACACTTTGGTACCACCAAATCATGGACTACTGCTCAACCCTGAGGCAGAATGTGCGGGAGTCATGGTACTGATAGATTTGTTTTATCAATAAAAAAGCATATATTGAATAACTGTATCACTGCTCCCATTCATAGTTGAAAGAAAAATAAATCTATATGCCTACACGCATGTATACATGCAAATATATATATTTTTTAATTCTGGAAGAGAATATCAGGCTATTGGTTAACAAGGACCTCTTATGTAGAGTGTGTGATTAGGACAAGTAGAGAAAGGAGACTTTCAGTATACAATCTATGTAGTTTTATATTGATTTTTTATAACAAACATGTTTTCTTTGGCCAAATAGACATAGAGAAATGGATGCATACCTATTCATACATGTCTTGACATTTATAACTGGATGAAACAGAGGCAGCTGAAGTACTTGGGCTCTTTGATAACCAGTATTTTTTGCTTGGCTGAGTCCTCCCTTAATCCCATAATCCCTCTAGTGGCTTTCTGTTTTGGCATGCCCACAGCAGAAGGAACTCTACGAGACCTGGCACGTTTCTGGCATTCAATAGTTGCCAGCCATGTTAAATGTCACCCGCTTCCCTCTCTTCCCCGGGCACTCACATGCAAGCCCTTCCTTTACCTTGCTTGTCTTCTGCCACTTTCAAATTCCACCTCTACTTGCTCTCCCCAATATGGGCAGTCACTCACTTCCCAAATGCCCTCTTTAATGGACAACACCATCCTCACTGTACCCATGTCTCTTTTTCCAAACTCCTGTAATTCAAAATATGTATTTCCCTTTTGTATTGATATCAGACTTCCACTAATCATGTTCCTGTTCGCTCTTTTTGTTGGTCTTTATATGATGAGAGCTCACTTCTCTGTAAGTTCACTCCCCACTAACACCATTGTCCCTGAGCCTGGTGGCACAGTGGGTTACGCTGTAGTACCCTCCAATACCAATAGCCATGCCAAGGGAGGAAGATGAGGCTTGCTACTCCTGTGCGGGTTGCGAGGGCAGTGCCGTTCTGTCCTATCGGGTCACTGGGAGTTGGAATCAACTCAGCGGCACTGAGTGTGGTGGTTGTTGTTGTTACTTTTTTCGGGAATACTGCCATGCTATCTTCTGGATCTTCCTTAATCTAATCTAAACTCTTATTTCTCCTACTGTCACTGGGATATCTCTCTATACTTTTCTACTGTGAATTTCCACTTCATAGCCACCTAGGTTTCCTGCTTCCAAGGATCAGGCTTTCCGAAAACCCCAAAACTAGGTATCTATTCACCTGTTATATACGCTTTTCATTTCCACCCATGAAAGACATTTCTCCATCTCAACGCCCTGTAACCACACCTCTCCACACTCCCTGCCCCACCCGCTGCCCACACCTGCCTCAGAAATTGTGACAGTGACTCCTAAGAGGTCATGGCTACTTAGCAGTCCCTCCTCCGCACTGCCCCCGTGCTCTCACCTCTCCGTACTGGGCTCCCACTGACTCAAGACACACCAGGCCGGATTCTAAGTACGATTTAAACATATCAACTCATACAATCCTCACAGAAACCTTGAAATGGACCCTCTAGGCCAGTTTGAAAGGTGGAGAACCTGAGACTGAGGAAGAGCAGGGCCTTGCTGAGGCCAGTGTTGGAGGCATGACGCCCTCCAGGCAGCCAGGCCTGGAGACAAAGCTCCGCACGCACTTCCTCCCCTCTGCTTCGCTGTGGGCACCTCTACTGCGGCACTCAGCAGATGACGCCGCCTAACCCAGCCTTACGCATCTGTACCCTTGACTCTAAGACCCCGCTGAGGGCAGGAAATGTCCACCTCTCTTCCCGTAGCATGTGTAATGGCACCTAGCAACAGGAGGTATTCAATAAACGGATAAATGAACTAAACAAAGGAATAACACAGAGTGTGTTGTTTCAACAGCACTCCAATCCTAGCATCGCCTAAGCCTTCAGTCTGGGCAGACTTAGTGACAAGACCTGCAGTTCACATCTTTCATGACACAAAAAGTGGGTAGTTTGGGAACTGTGCTGACCCATTTCTATCTGTTTATTCCCAGAAACCCAGGTGACACCCACCTCAGAGTACACTTAGGTGTGGTCTTTAAATGATCAACATCCCAGGCTGAGGGGCTGCAGAATTACCTGACAGAGCATCATAGAACTCGTCCTCGCTCAGGACACTGAGAGGCGGCGATCCTCCAACCAGAGACTGCTCTAGTTCATGGTGCTCAGTGGCCAGAGTCTCCAGGGCTTCAGACAAAATTTTGGTTTTTTCTTGTTCTTGTTCCAATTTAAAATTCCTCACCTGGAAGAGAACAAACGTACAAAAAAGACTTCAGCATGATGCGACTCAGACCTGCTCGTTAGGAGGTGAGGAGGATTTGCTTTTGACCCAGTTCAACTGCAACATCAGACATACAGACAGTTGTGTTATATATACTTGGATGAATGAGCTGAATTACTAAACTGATTCTGCGCTTCCCAGGGGGCCTTTCTCACAACAGCTCTGGCTAATGAAAATAGATTAAGACCGAACAAACAACTTCAGTTCAAATGATCAGGTGCCTGGTAAGCAAATATTAGTCATTTCAGAAAACAATTTAAAAATATATATATATATATAACTATATATAAGCAAATTAAAAAAAATCTTTCTCAAGATTAAGCATGAAGAAACGAGTTTCAGTAAGTTATCACACAAAATGAAGAAAGCCATTCTAAATATACAAATGTGTACCACATGAAAGTCTGAGCTACAGTCATAACTATCCAACTGACATCTAGAACAGTCTGTGAACATGCCAAGGGGAGGGCCACAGGCTGCTAGGCAGTAACTCTAACAATTTTTATTGTCTCCATTCCATATTTTGCCTTGCATTTGGCACAAAAAAGAAATCTGAGCTAGATTAGAGAAATGGCTAAGTGTGGCTTGGTTCTTCAACCTCTGAAGAAACGGTCAATTTCGCCCAAAAAGGCCCAAGAGCATTTGAACCTCTGCCATTGATTAAAACCTTCTAAATGGAAAGAATTCACTGTTCATATAAAGTGGCAAGCACTGGCTTGGGTGGGAACCATTTCACCTGTTTTTGTATCAGAAATTCTGGAAACTGCAACGATGCTATAATCTCCCTCCATTTCTAGAGGCAATGCTGCCAGTACCATGGGGCAGAAGGGTGGGGATCTAACGTAACTAATGCTGCAGGTGCAGGACAGTCTCCTTCCTGCTCCTCAGTTTCTTCCCCTACCAAACAGGAGGGTTCTATTATCATCTGATTATCTCATTTCATTAGTGGTCTTCAACTAAAAAAACCTTTCTTTCTTTAACAGCACACCGTATTTTTCCAACAGAATCCTACAGCTCCAACATTGAAATAAATCCCTGTGCTGGAAGACGTTAGGTAGAACTCACAAGTCCCACCCCTCTCCTCAAGGCCCAACCCCAGGGGCTTCACCGACACAATGAAAGGTATTGGGGGAGGTAGTATCTCTTCCAGGTCAACATTTCCACCTTTGTGTCTTGGACGCTGAAGACCCCTCTGACAACTGCTCCTCGGAAGTCCTGGCCCGGCGGAGGCAGCCCCTTTCGCTCCTGAGATTTGTGGCTCTCTGAGGCCTTTGTGGGTCTGAGTCCCTGGTCCTGCACATTAGTTCCGACACTGCAGGAGTCAGTCATGTATACATCTTGAAACATGGTTTTACTGAAGTGCAAATTTGAAGGAGAAACAGGGTTAACACTCTTTATTGTCTAGGGAAAAGTTCCAGTCCTCAGGTACCTGTGTTTATCATTACAGCAACGAGATTATTATTATTAGAGCCGTGGTAATGAAATAAAAATAGCACCAAATGTTAAGCAATAACAAGCAGGGAGAACATGTAAAACTGAGGGGGGAGGGGGAAAGGACATGTAATGATAAATTTTAGGAAACTGAAAAACACTTGCTAATATTCCTAGCAGGAGCCCTGATGGTGCAAGGGTTAAGTGCTTGACAGAAAGGCTGGCGATTCTAATTCATCTTGCTACCTGACCCTATCGAGGTTACAGCTTGGAAAATCCAATGACACCCAAGACCCGGCTACTGGTCTCGTCTTCCCCAGGACTTACAACACAGGCAAACCACAGCCGTCACGAGGCTGAGATCTAGATGGTGCCTGGCTCCCATCAACAACCATTCCGACCAGGGGCACAACAGAAGGCCCAGTTAGGATGGAAGAAAACTGTGGAACACAACTCTAATTCATTGGGAAAAAATTCATAATGTCTTGATAGAAATTTGAACACTTGAGACTACTGCCCAAAGAAAAGCTTTTAACTATGAACTAAAGCCACTTCTATTGCCACCTCTCAGTCAAATAAGGACCTACCAATAAAACAATTAATACCCACCCCACGAAGGATGTGCTCCTTTAAACTACCACCCTAGCTTAAGACCAAAAGGTCACCATGTGACACCAAAGATGAGAAGGCAAGGCAGGGCAGGGAAACTGATGGGCAGAAACAGGGCTGCCAGGTGCAAGTGTTGCTAGACCGTGGGGATGGTGACAATGTCACATGAGCATCTGCCTGGGAATTGCTTTTCTGTGCGAACTTTCATGTAAAACACAATGAAATATTGACAGTGACAAGAACATAAAAACCAACAGTAAACAACATATACAAACAAACAAACCCCCTGTGGGGCAGCTCCACTCTGTCCATTGAGATCACTGAGGTAGGAAGGGGGGAGTGCAAAGAATTATAATAATAATAAAAAAGCTGTGCTTTCTCCATCTGACAGAGAAAAATCATTCATGTATTGATAAACGAAGGCTACAAAACTGTACACAATGTCCAAAACAATCTTTTCTCTCAATCTAAAAGATCTACGACAACTGTGAGAGTATTTGTCAGGTAATTCTACAGCTCCTCAGCCTGGGATGTTGATCATTTAAAGACCACCCCTAAGTGTACTCTGAGGTGGGTGTCACCTGGGTTTCTGGGAATAAACAGATAGACCATGGAAATACATCAGTGGCGTTCCTTACTTGAGAGACAAAGCTAGATACGTTGTTTTTTTATCCAAGAGCTAGTGTCTCCATCTCAAGTGAATAACTCATTTGTTTTTGTAACCATATAACATCTAATAATAACAAAGAAGAAATGTGTAAGACTTAGGTTATTAAAAAGAGCCACGCTGGATTGATCAAGCCCAACATTTCACCTGTCCTATAAGTGAGTAATTGGTCAGCGTTCTGTGAATGATAATCATTTACCACCCACTTAGTGGTGTGTGAATGCCACAAAACAAAACAAAACATGACAAGAAGGACCACACTCTTTCACCCACTCTCTCCCATTGGCTGCATGGTTGTAGCTTTTCAAATGTCAAAATGCAAATGTGCTGTGGATTCTTAAAAACAAGAATCAGCTAAATTACTCCTCTGTCTTCAACAAATACACAAGTCTGCATACCAAATTCACCTAGCTGACTGCAGCAAAATTCAGAAAAAATGATGGACGCCCCAAAATATTCAGTTCCTGTAACAACAACGACAAAACTCTTATTCAAAATGCAATCCATGCTCTATCTAGCTAAAATAAGCACTTTCGATTCTCTGACACTGCCATCTGTTCTCGCTTGCTTCAAGAGAAGGAGTAAAGAGTAGGAAGCAGAAGAGAGAGGGAGACGAGAGAGGCTCCAATTCTGTCCTATGTCTTGCCTTATTTTTACCTGCCAATTGATCTGGGAATATTTTTATTAATTTCAACTGTAACAGGGCTTTCTGCACTCAAGATGATCTTTCTGGAAAACGCCCCACAAGGCAGCAGCATCGCCCAGCATGGAAAGCACTACATATGACAGCAAGCAGCTGTAGGTCACAGAAGTTGCACCAACAAAGAGCTCTCTTGATAACTGTCAAGCATCTAAGAACACACTTCACTGCCATAGCGCATTAGAGTCAGTGAGAAGCCTCATTGGGACAACGTAATTTCAAATGCCCTACCTTCTCAATATTTTAGAAAGACTTATGGAAAATTCTACATTTAAAAATTAGTGTAGAGCTACTGATATGGAATATGCCGAGCATAAGTTCATAATACGTTCATCTTCCTTTCAAACTATCTTATCAAACTTCCATTTCCTAGTTCAGAAAACTATTTATTTTTAACAGAAAGAGTACCCTTTTGTGCAATATTTCTTTTGAATTCCAGTGCTCTTAGTTGGACACAGGGAATACTACATGGTTTAACATCAGGGAGGGTGTGCATTAGGGTAGTGTCCTCTCACCGAAATTATTCCATCTGTATGCTGACAAAATCATAAGAGAAGTTGGATTCTATGAAGAAGAATGAGAACAAAATTGGAGGGCTTATTAATAAGCTCAGATATGCACATGATACAACCTTGCTGCTGAAAGCCAGGATCACTGGAAGCACTTGCTGATGAAAATCACAGACTGCAGCATTCAATATGACTGACAACTCAATGTAAAGAAAACAAAAATCCTCACAATTGGACAAATAAGTAACATCATAATAAGCAGAGAAAAGATTAAAGTTGTCAAGAATTTTGTCTTGCTTGGATCCACAAACAAGGCTCATGGAAGCAGCAAGAGATCAAAAGATGCACTGCAGTGGGAAAAGCAAATTTGTGGCACAAAACCTCTTTAACGTGTTGAAAAGCAAGGATGTTACTTTGAGGACTAACACACACCTGGTCTAAACCAGGGTATTTTCCATTGCCTCATAGGCATGTGAAAGTTGCTCACTGCATACGGAAGACTGAACAAGAATCGATGCATCTGGATTATGGCACTGGCAAAGACTACTGGCAGGACCATGGACGGCCCAGAGCATAAACAAATCTGTTCTGGAAGAAGTCTGGTCGGAATGCTTCTTGAAGGATGCATGCCAGAGGATGGCAAGCCTTCGTCTCATGCACTTTGGCCTGGTTGTCAGGGGACCAGGTCTTGGACATCATGTTGGTAAAGTAGAGGGACAGCAAAACCAGGAAGGCCCTCGGCAAGATGCACGGACACAGTGGCTGCAGCAACTGTGAGGTGAGCGCAGGGCCGAGTAGTGTTTTGTTCTTTTAGGTCAGAGCCGACTGCAGTGGCTCCTAACAACAACACAGACATGTTGACAATGGTTTTCAAAGACTCAAACAGTAATGACCCTGATGAGTATCAAAGGAATAACGAAGATTCTTCACAAAATTAGTGACCTTTCCATGAGTTTATCGTAAGGTTCATCGTGTTTCTAGAATAAGGCTGACATTACCTTTTTCCAGTTCACATAAACATTGCACCCTTAGTCGTGCCTTTCCC